GACGTCACGGTGCGTGGCGATCACCGCGTGATGTCGCTCTGTCAGCTGCCACGCGTATGTCGACCACGCCGCCTGCTCACTGTCCGCCCGCCGCCGTCGCGTTCCGGCCGCAGTGACCACTGTCACCGCTCGGTCACCGCGCTCGGTCACCGCGCGCTCCCCGTCGGGCCTCGGTACCGCGCCGCTAACGTCACAGCGCCGAGAACGGCGTGACACCGTGGTCAGTGCTGCTCCCTCAGGCCTTCCCGCCTCACTGTCTGCACGCTCGCTCCTGCCGCCGACCACCGCCATTGTGACATCAGTGACTACAGGCTGCCCCGTCGACCGCACCTTCCGCCCGCCTGCTGGATCCAGCTCTGACAAGTGCCCCCCTTTCGCGCTCGCTGCCTCCGCACCGGCGCGTTGATGTCACAATGCGATCGGACGACCCGGCAGCTACGTCCACTGCCAACGTCGACCCCAACCGCCCGCACGCAGCTGCCGCGCTCGTTGCCTCCGCATCACCGCCGGGCTGACACGCTAGCGCCGCATCACTGTCCCACAGTCACCGCGTAACCACGTCGACCCGGGCCCCGGCTACACATCGACCATGCATCCCGCCCATCCCGCCCACCCTCTCGTTGGCTGCGCGTTGGCACGCAACCCCGCATTGACCCCGCGCACGACCGCCACAGGCGCCATCGCTCTCAGTCGGCGCGCTTAGGCACGCAACCACGCATCTCGGTCCCACGTCCTTCCTTGATCCTTCCCGCCCTAATTGCCTTTCCCGCGTCATGACATGACACCCGACAAGCTACGCGAGGGCAACGCGAGGGTAAGCGCAGAACTGGAGACTGTGGGGCAACCGTACCCGGGGCTGATCTCCTCTTCGCCTGCCCAGTACCCACCCGCACCTGCACGAGCGCCCAACCGCTATCTCGTTGTCCACAGCGTGTGACCGAGGCCATGATGCGAGGGCCGCCCGCTGTCAGCTGCCATTTCAATGTCTCTAACGCAGTTCCCGGAGCCAACGGGTTGCCAACGGGTCAGCGGCGCGAGACCAGACGCACCCCACCGCGTGACCCTTCCCTAGTGTTAATCTTTGCCCACAGCTAGCCGCCATGCCAATGCATCAATGTCAGCCCCACTACCACAGTATAGCTCACAATTATAAACCGATGTCATAGTAATATTAGAATCTAGATTGATCAATGCCATAATCACCGAAGCCTTTGAGTCGCTGAGCTCAGTTGATCTTCCATCAATTATGTTCACTGGACTATATCTCTTCAAAAGGATGCTTCCAGCAATTGCAATCACATTACTCTTCTAGGTCTGTACTCTTTGAAAGTGTCAACTAACTTTATTTTCTTTCTAACTGACACAAGAGCATGTCAGATATTGTCATCTTTGGCAAATGATGCCAGTGGATCTCACTCAATACCCCCTAGATAGTCCAGATATATTGGTTCCTAATGCTTAGCATATTACACTATGAACTGATGCTATTCACATATTTATAAAAAGTGGAAAAGCATTGTAGGATGGTTCACAGGAAATTTGATTGCCAATGCTCTAGCTCAGACAGGTCTTCATGATTTGGTGCAGAACTGAGTATAGGTGCTTGAAATATGTATTGGCTCAGTCAGGGAGCCTAAAATGCATTATCAGAAATTCCATAGTCCTAAGATAGTTCTCAGTACTTTATCACATATACCTAAGATCTTCCTGGATCTGGGGCTAGATAAGCTATCAGAGAGTGTAGAGATGAAGAATAGACCTATGTGTACCATGATATTGATTTGAGTATGAGATCCCAAGCCTTTTATATGCTGCAATTTGGTGAATGTTGCATGTGTCACTTTTGTGACCTGCTTTGCACTCAAATATTGAACTTGTGGTTTGGAATACATGCCACAGAGGTCAGAAAGTGGTCTATTTGTAGGCTCATGACAGTTACTGATAACATATATGCATTGTTGTGAGCAGCTCCAGACATTAGAACTGCAGACAGGGTTAGTACTCTAAAGGCCAAAAGAACTGTCTGCGCTATTACATCTGGTGAAATTTTTATTTCAGGTAGGAGTCAAGAAACCTATATAGGTGACTGGAGGACTTCAGACTGACTCTTCTGGCACTTAAATCAGCTTACTAACTATCTTGGATGTTACATGATTGAGGAATCAGTGTTATCTTTGCCAAAATCAACTACTTAATATCTGTACTGATTTTTGGCCAAATGAATTGGTAGTGTGGGGTGTGGTAGAGTGCCTGTATAGCTCCCAGAAACTAGCATGCACACCCAGCTAAGCCTACCAGAAGTCAGAATATAATATGCACAATAATCCTTGCTATTGAGTGATACCATCAAGTGCCCCTAACTCAGAAATGGGTCAGATCGCATTATTTCATCCCTTATAATGAAATCAACTTAGATCAATCTTATCCACCCAGTATATATGAAGAATTCAGCTTGTCATTCCCTAGGTAGTCCAATATAGGCAATGACTGCTGAATAATATTGCATGAGGCTGTTGATTAGCATTGATCCCTCCTGTTTAATGTCCTAGATCTTCATACCTTTCAAATGACTACTCAATCATCCATATCCATGGGTTGGATGTGGAGATATTGTCCAGCATCAGGTGCATCAAAACCATATGATCAAGTGATGGAAAGCCGTTTCACAAGCTTGCTCCTAAGCACAAGCTTCAAGAGAAGTTATAATGGTCCTGTAGACATAGAATTGACTCAAAATGTGTTTGATATTGTATACGAGGATCATACACAGAGCTGTATAGGTGGAACTACATGCCCAGTTAAGCCCCAATTAGCGGCGTGTCAACTAGCGCCAGGCCATGAGCAGGTTGGACAGTGGGTAGCGCTCCTATCTCTGAGACGTTTAAGGGAACCGGGCGAGGGTTGGCTCTGCATGCAGCGGATGCTGCTGTGACGCGTGTCGGCGACGCCCGGAGGCGCTGGGCGGAGCTCCTACGCGTTGCACCTGAGACTGTCAGGATGAAGAAATCCAGCGACCTCCTATGTGTCCTGAAAATATCAAGCGCAACGGGTCAGTGGTTGGCGCTTTGCAGCCCTGCCTCTGTTCTCAGAGACGAGGCGGCGTTCCGGCCCGCCTCCCACGCGTTCGGCCTGGAAACTCACCCACGGGCAGCGACGCCATGCGTGCCCATCTCCTGTGAATCGCAGGCGGAACGACGCACTCATCGTCCCCGCAGCGCCCAATCTCCTCCATTCAGCTTGCATGTGTCACTGTGCCACGTTCGGACAGCGGGCGAGCCCGAAGGGTGCCGTACATGTCGATCAAGAGTGCACCTCGCTGCACACGCGGCCGCCGACAGAAGAGCAGGCGGCGAGCGCGTAACGAGTGGGGAGACAAGTACTGTGTAGTTTTTTTTTTTTTTTTTTTTTTTTTTGTGTACGTTTGGGATAGTAGCACGTAAGGGCGAATGCGCTTCCCCGTATCTCCGCGTTTATCTCTTTCGAGATTCCGCATCGCATCCGGGCCACCTATGTCGGTCACTCGCTACCCGTGGTTTGGCGGCCTTGGGATTTAAACCAAGCCTGATTTTGGTCCACTCGAGGAAATGCTCCATAGCACTGGCGTGTGTACACGCCTTGTGTGGGGGCTTCGGCCTTGCTAGTTCAGGCAGCGCTGCAACTTCTGCCTTGCGGCTTCATCAGTCACAGCTTGCCATCATCACCAGCTCATCCGATACCCACTAAAACCCCGATAGTCGTCGACGTCCAGTTCGACGGCAGTTGGTCCTCGTCCCTCAGTGTTTTGCCCCAGGTGGCCTGTACAACCGAGCGGCGAATGGCCTTCTTGCCCCACTTTTTCTTATCGGTGAGTGCACGATCTATCTCTATCCTGTTGTTGATTGTTTTGCGCCAGCGGTTCCTGATCTCTTCAAGCGACGCCTCTGGTTTATCTCCTATGACGCGTTCGCATCTAAGCTTCCAAATGAGATATGCTGACTCTGATATTAGTACTCGGTATAGTCGCTCTTCGCCACTACTCTTTCCCTGGCTCGCGCCGGTGCACCAGAGGCCATTATCTGGCCGATTGTGGGTTTAATTTCGTTGCCTGTTTTCTTTTCCCATGTGTTGCTCACCAATTTCCAGATCTCTTCCTGTCCCTGACATTCGCATTTTGTCAGAATATGCTCCATGGATTCGGTGAGTCCGCATTTCCTGCAATCTACCCAGTCTGTGTACTGTGGGATGTCCTTCCAGTGGTTGCCCACTTTGAAGCCTCCATGCAGCAGTTTCCACATGAAGATTCGGATTATGCGTGACACATCTTTGTGTCTCGTCGCTTTCCAGATTGTTTTCTCGGTAGCGGTCGTGTCCTCTCGCGACTCAATCGCGTTTTGTGCTTTGGACATGTTGTTCCTTGTGGCCCGTCTATTGAGGGCTTCCTCGTAGTCCGGTTTCGCCATATTTATTTGTCTGATTATTTTGTAGGCCGTCGACTGTTTGATCGCCTGTAGTTTGGCCCCGGGAGGACTAAGTCTGGTCTCAAATCCATACGAATTTCGTCTTCGGGGTTTGTGTTGCACCAAGGCCAGCCAGTTCGTCGGCCCCTTCGTTCCCTTCGTTGCCAGCGTGGCCTTTGACCCATTGGAAGGTCGTCTCCGCCCTGCGTTCTCTGATCCTCGACACCGTTGCGCGCCCAGCTCACCATTTTCCACGAGGAAGAATCCGACATCTTCCCAGTTCTGTAGGTTCTTCGTGAGGCCGTCGATTGTGTACCTTGAGTCACTGATTATGTGCAGTGGGCGGTCGATGGGGCACATTTCTGCGGCTTCTTTTACTGCCGCCAGCTCTCCAACCTGGTTGGATGGCGAGAGGTGGGCGGGGATTCTCAGTGACCTGTTCCTAGGGTCATTTTCCCCAAAGAAGATGCCGGCTCCAGCCTGCACCTGGGGGGTTCCGTTCTTAAGTGCTGACCCATCTGTGTAGACTGTGACGGCTGGGCCGCTTGCGGGTAGCGGTGAAGTGTCCGGGGCCGCTTTTGCTTTATTTCGCGCTCCATTTCTGAAGACGCGGAATGTGTCGGCTATGGACCCTCGTGTGGTGACTTTCCGGTTGAATGGGACAATATTCTCATCGAGTGCGACCGGTGTGTCTTCAAGGAGTTCCTCCATCGTCTCCGGCTGGGCCAATCTGGGGTCCCATTTGTCTTGGATGGTATGTAGCATGTCTCTCGCCTTCTCGTAGCACTTATTCGGGTGCTTACATTTAGACGCCACCCTCGTTATTTGGCACGATGTACATTTACAGTCGACTCGTGACGTATGTCTTCGTGTTTGCATTTTGTTCGCCAGTTCTTCCGCGTCTCGGACTGACTTGACTTTGTGGTTCTTGTGTAGGCATTCGATTGTTGCCTTTGGGTAGCGGAAGACCCTCCAGTCATCCTCGCTGGACTTGATGTGGTGCCATATTGGCATACTGCGTTGTATGTTTCGGGACACAGCTATTGCCTCGATGCCGACATCGTGGTCTTTTCCTGCCTTGATCAGGCGTGCGAGGTCGTTTCCGACTTTGGCCGATGATACTTTGGGCTCCCAGTGTTGTAGGTACGGGCTGGTGCGTGTTTCCATACTTCCATATTTTTGGTCGTCAGATTTATTCCTTATCAGTATTTGGTCTGTGACGTATGCCCATGAGGGTCTGTCGGGGCCGAAATTTAGGTATCTCTGGAGCCACGTTATGGTTATGGCTTCGTTCCGGGCCGGATGTCAAGGAGGCTTCTGCCGCCAATTTCTTTCGGTGCGTACACTGTTTCCTTGTTTATCGTCACGCTCTTTTTACCTGCCCATAGGAAGTTGCGTATCCTGCGCTCGATTCGGTTCTCCACCTCCTTGGGCATGCCTTGCACTGTGGTAAGGTATTGTGTCATACCTCCCACCACCATTTGAACAATGAGCCTGCGTCCCTCCATTGTAGGGTTACTCAGTTCCCAATGCGCCAGAGCGCCGTCAATTTTTTCAAGGGTTCTTGCCCATGTGTCTGCATCTTCGACGTTGTTCCCTACCCAGGCTCCAAGGGTGCGAACTGGTTCTCCGTCCATTGCGATTTTGATGTTGTCAGCCACTTTGGTGCCGTCTAGTCCGTTAATGCATCTCGACTCAACGACTGCCTCACGGTGCTGTTGTCTCCCGACAGGGATGATTTCCGTCTTGCTAACATTAAATTTAGCCCCCGCTGCAATGCACCATTCATCTAGAATTTTCCATAATTCACCCCAGTCGTCTTCCTTGTCGAGGTACACCATTGTGTCGTCGGCGAAGAGGGAGGTGATAATTCTTTCCACTCTACCTTCGATTTTGATCCCTTTCAGGTGGGAGGATCGTAGTGCTTCTGCGAGTGGTTCTATGGCCAGGTCGAACAGAAGGCATGAGAGTGGGTCCCCTTGCCGCACTCCCCGTCACCTTGAAGGGGTGCTCACTCCGCTCTCCGTTGATCATGACATATGTTTTCGCGTTGCTGTACAGTGCCCGTACGGTTTTAATAAATTGCTCTGGTATTCCAAATTTCTGCAGAGTCCGCCATAGGTAGTCATGTTCTATTTTGTCATAAGCTTTCTCTTGGTCGAGTGCGACTATTACCCCGTCGTGTTCTGACACTTCAGCGTATTCGATTAATCTTTTCGTCAACCATACTTGGTCCCGAATTTGCCGTTTTGGGACAAAGCCTGCTTGGTCGGTGTGTATAAGAGATGGGGCTTCTTGCGCGAGTTTAATGGTGAGAGCTTTCGTGAATATTTTGTAGTCGGTGTTTAGGAGGGAGATTGGACGATAGTTCGCAATATCAGATTTGTCATTTTTCTTGTACAGTGGGCACATCCAGCTCTCCGAGAAGTCTGTGTTCTCCGCCATACCATGCTCCTCGATGTCGTTGAAGACCGTTTGCATTGCGGTAATCACGTCAAATTCTGCTACTCTCTCTTCCTCCGCCGCTTTCTCCTTTGCTGACTCGTATCGATCGTTCAGTGTTTTCCAAAGCTCAAAAGGTATGCCGTCTAGGCCAGGTGCTTTGAAGTTGGCTGACATTTTCAGTGCGTTCAGTACTTCGTCCCGGGTGACTTTGCCCCCAAGGCGTGTTTGTTGGTCTTGAGACGTGGTCGCTTTTACCCGGTTTAGCACTGTGTCAATCTTGGTCTCCCGTTCTTCTGGTGGGACGTCGTTTCGCTCGTTCTGCAGTTTGTTATGGTAATCACGGGCCATGGATGCCATTTTTCTCGAGTTAGTCTCGTATCTTGGTTGTTCGTTCGAGCCGACGTTCTTTTGCAGGCGTGGGATGATATCCTTTGGCTTCGCAGGCCTGTTTAGTTTGGACCAGTATCTTCCAACGAGCTCTGCATGTACGACATGCTGCATCTTGACGGTTTGTCTGTTGGATTTAAATCTGGTTCGTTGCAGTTGCACAAGCTTCTCGGTCATCACTGCCGCCGAGAGGGTTTTTTCTTCGTCAGTCATGTTTGAGTATTGTACAGATGAAGCCAGCACACGCAAAAAACAGATGCGACACCTGCTGCATCATATTACTAAAGTGTCGCTTCTGTTTCAATATTACGTATGATACATTGATTGTCCCATCAGACTGAAATGATCCCCAACAACATATATATAATGTACCTTTCCCCTTAAACGAACCTTTAACTAACCCTAACCGAACCTAACCAACCCTAACCAGACCTAACCAACCCTAACCGAACCTAACCAACCCTAACCGAACCTAACCAACCCTAACTGAACCCTAACTAACTGAACCTAACCAACTTAATAAATACTAACAAGATAAAATACCAACTGTTGCCATCTCCTTTATCATCATATTATGATTGTATCATCGAAATTTGCTGTATCAAATGTTTGATTTTGATGCTTAGATAGGACACGTGTCGCATCTAACTACAAGGTGTCGCATCTGTTTGTGCGTGCGCTTGCTTCATCTGGTATGTCCCGGTCATGTTTGCGTCTTTGACTATCATATCCAGTTTTTTCTCCAGATCTTTGATTTCTTTCGTCATCTTGGGGGTTACTATTTTGGCTCGTTCCCTTGCTTTGTGTGTGATATCGTCCTTGAACTCTTCCCAGAGTATTTGTGGGTTGTTGGAGGGGCTGCGCATTTCTGGGTGGGACTTCAGTAGGCCGAGACTATCTTCGAGGAGTTTGCCACGCTCTGAGGTATATTTTTTGAATGTTTTCTCGCTCGTTATGTGTTCGGGGAGTGTCCATCGGCCGCTACCCATCGTTGGCGAGTCCACGGTTGTTATTCGGAAGCTGATTAGCTTATGGTCTGTCCGGATGCCTGGTGTTTTGAAGGTCCATTCGAACGTATCGTCTGCAATGCTTGCGCGGACATAGAATCTGTCGATTCGCGATTCCGCTCCACCTTGGTCTTCGGACTGGGCATATGTATATTTCAGCGTCGTCGGGTGTGTCTCCCTCCAGTAGTCCACCAGGCCGAGTGCAGTTTTCAGTCGGTCGAGGGCATCCACGCAGATGACAGGGTCACTGTGTGCGGGGAGGCGGTCAATTGCCGACTCAACCATATTTATGTCGCCCCCCATTATGTCCGGGCGTCTCACGTGTGGGTTGTTCGCAAACCATTGGTTGATTGTGTCCCAGAATTCAGCGTTCTCAGTCGGGTCGTTTGGCGCGTAGACGCCGAGAATGGAGAGTTTTGAGCCGTCTCCGTGTTTCATCTCTAGGAGTAGGGCCCGGCCAGCGACTATTTCACGCTTGTTTATTTCTTTAGCATTCACAAGGAATTTGTTAAGGACAAAAGCGACGCCTTTCGCATTTGGCGATCTTTCGTCACGTGAGAACTCGAGTCTCATTCGTCTTCCAAACAGGCGGTCAATGCGCTGTTTTCGTTCGTCGCTCAGATGTGATTCGCAGACGATGAGGACTCCAATCTTTTCCTCTCGCATCATCTGCCATACCTCTGGCCATTTGCTGTCTTCGTGGCTTGGGTTAACATGCCCATTGCCTCTTATGTTTAGCGAAGCAACCATTGTCGACGCCTTGGTGTTCTTTTTCCCTAGTCTGCTATCGCTGGTGTCAGGACCCGGGAAGACTCTCTGTGTGTTCACTCGCGGTGCTTGCGCGGTTTCGTTTTGGATAGCAGGTGCATCTGCTTGTGAATTCTCCACATCTCCTTGTGTGGGCGGCCTTTCTACTAGCCGTGGGACTTCGTACTGAGTTCCTGGTGCATCTTGCACCGTAGCATCGTCTGCGATGCCCCCTGCTCCCTGTACTGCGGGCAGAGTTGCGACTGGGATCACTCCCGCGGTGTCGCCTACATGCACGTACTGTGCGTCTCCGGTGTCATCCCTGGCAACTGACTCGTTGCCTGGCCGGGGAACCTCGTACTGGGTTCCTGGTGCGTACTGCACCATAACAGCATCCTCTCTGATGCCCCCTGCTCCCGGTACTGTGGGCAGAGTCGCAGTTGGTTGACCTTCATCGGTGTTAAGGGGATGGTCATCGGTTGGGCCATCCCAGTTCACCTCTGGTTGACCCGCCGCTGTTTCCCCTCCAATGTGGCTCCCATCATTGGGTGTTGGCAAGCCGGTGGCGGAGCTCGCCGACCCTCCGAGAGCCGCAAGTCGTGTGCCGGGTTGCATTCTGGTATGTCCTGTGGTTGTGTTAGATGGTGTTGAATTTGTGGTAGCAAAAGAAAAGGCACGCCGCGGGCCGCGCCATGGCCCGCGACGTTAGCGCCTACCGTTCGGGGTTGACATTGGGCTTCCGTTGCATAAATCGGGTATGCAGCTTCCGCCCGCCGTCATGCCAGGACTGCTGGCCAGCGGACCCCGGCCTAAATAGGCCCCGCTGTTGCGGCGTTGGTACTCATGCCCCCTTCACAACCCATTTCTGAATTGTCAAGGGTGCATTTTCCCAACGCGGTCCCCTCCCCTGTTTCCTGTCCCAGTTTTACACTGGTCAGTAGATTTGGCAGGGTTGGGTTGCGTGAGTCGGTACATCCCACGTCTTCTTCTAGTCCCGTTCCTAGGCATTCTGTGTTTCAACAATGTAAATGTGTTCATTCAATATATACTGAGTTGGGATTGTGTTTAGTACATGAGCTCGATTATCTGCGACTATTGTACCCTCCTCGGCTGCCTCTGTTTACGTAACGGCCGCGTGGGGCGCCACCTCGTCCACCCCTTCCCCGTTCCGATCTGCCTCTCTTGTTTAGGGCGAGCGGGCCTTCGGTGTGTTCGCCGAGGGTCTGGGTCGGGCCCCACCAGAATGTTGCGCTGTTCTCACGTGTGAATGGGCAGATGTACGCCAGGTGTCCGTACAGTTTGCAGATGGGGCAGTTGGGGACTTCTCCGCTCTTCCGCATAGGTTTGAAGTGATAGACGTCGAATGAGAACTTGACCGCACGGAGTTTAGAGAGGAATGCCGCTCGTTGCTGGCTTGTTCCTCCTCCAAACGGGCTGAGGTACACCGTGATGAGTACTTGAGGCAGCGTGAAGAGATCCCGCGTGATGTAGCTGTCCCACGCGCGGCGGTGCCGGCTCCAACCAGCGCGACGATGGTATCAACAGCGAGAGACGGGCACGCGACGTTGCGGCGTTAATCAGCGCAAACGCGCACGCGAGGTCGGCAAGCATAGGCGGGCGGTGGCCGTGGGCGGGTCCTGCGTCGGTACGGTGGAAGAGCAGCGAAGGGATGGGTCGACAACGGACATGTGGCCGGGTTGACGTGGCCGGGTTACGCGGTGACTGTGTCGTGACGTCGACAGTAAGCGCGACAGTGATGCGGCGCCCGTGTCAGTCCGGCGGTGATGCGGAGGGCAAGCCCGTGTCAGTCCGGCGGTGATGCGGAGGGCAACGAGCGCGGCAGCAACGAGCGTGGTGGCGGCGGGCAGGCCGCTGATGGTGGGCTGGAGTGCTTCCTGCTGGGCCGACGTGGCCGGTGACGCAGCCGCAACGTGACAGCGTGATGACCATTGACAGGTGGTGAGGTTCCGCGACGGCGGCGGCAGCGAGCGGGTGGACAGTGAGGCGGGAGGACAGTGAGCAGGGGAGCATGGTCGACGTGGCAGCTGACAGAGCCCGGGCCACGGGTCACGCGATGATGGCGCTGTGACGTCAGCCGCGCGGCGCCGAGGCCCGACGCGCGCGAGGGTGGACGGTGCGGCGGTGACGGCAGTGACAGCGGTGGAGAGACAAGCAGACGGACAGAGGGGGCAGGTGTCATGCTGAGT